CCTCTAATACCAAGTCTATGACTTGCCATGCCCTAGTTGCTTGTGTGCCAACCCACAAATGTTGTGGTACTGCTGGCTTTGATTTAGTTTAGTGTTGAACCACAATGTTTGTGGGTTGGCACACAAGTAATTTAATTTTAGACCCCAGGCCAAGTTACATATCCGTTATTTCGTGACCAATTTATAAAAAAGCTTTAAATTATAAGATGTAGGAAAAAAATTGTCGAGTTGAATGAAGAAACCATTGGAAGGAGATTCCTAATAAAGATTAAAGATAATACTCAAGAAACAGGTAAAGTCAATAAGGTTCCTCATAAATTCTAAATATGACCCAAACTACATTTTGTATCAAAATAAAAAATGAGCCATAACAAGAGGTATGAATTTTCTGGAAAAAATATACATACAAATAATGAGAGAAATAAACTACCACCAAGTTTACTATAAGTGAATGACTGAAACAAGAACGTGAGAAAGGAATCAATAAGTAATTTAAGAACGTTTCAGAAAGTAAGTGGATGCGAAGAGGAACAAAAATTAATTTGGTGCGATGGTGAATGGGGTATATAAATATCATTCGTGGCAAAATATAGTATTCTTTAAAGGATCAGAGAAAAATATAAGGAAAAGTAGAATGATGAAGGAGTAAGCTTAGTTAGCTTTATATGTTCGATAAAAGGTAAGAACTTAAAGATGTGCAAGTGTAAGATTTAATAAGAAAGACGAAGGAGGCGCAAAAGATGTAAAATAGGGAGGGAAAATATGTGCTAAAAGAAAAAAATGAAGAAGCATATGGAGATATGGGTAGAATAAGTGAACTGGGAACGAATGGTCGGTTAAATTAAGGAGAGTTAGGGGTATTCTTAAGAAATAATTGCAGTTTATAGTGCGGAGAGGTGAGTTTAAAAGCATATCTTAAAAGAGGGAAAGGAAGAGCACAAAAATGAAATCGCAAGTTAAATAAGTATCAGGCTGTAGCAGTCCATTGCATCATGCCTAGTTGAAGTAACAGAATTAAGCGAACGTGATGTATCGCCTCAGACAATGCCGAAGACTCCAGCAAAGAACTCGAAACTAGAGGAGCTGAAGGTGCAGGCATTTCTGTAGCCGATTTACTGCTCAGCATAACACTAGGCTTATTCGAAGAGATTTCTGAGATTTTAGACTTGACTGGCGTATCCGGAGTTCCGGTGGTTGCAGCAGTCGATGGAGATGTCAAGGTGGTTGAGAGTGGGACATTCGAGGCCGCCGAAGGTCGAAAAAGAGCACTGGCGGTGTATTTGTAGTCGAAAGTAAGCTCGATAGCGGCTCGTAATGGAAAAAGTCCGGTGAGAGCGGTAGTCTGTTGTTCAGAATCAGAGAGTTCTTCAAGAGGTAAGGATGCAGTGTGTTTGGAGGCCGTTAAGGGAGTTCGGAGGGCGTTTGGAAGAGCTTGGTAAATAAAGGATAGGAAAAATGAATCGGGATATAGTGAAGCCCAAAAGAAAATATTAATTCAAACAGTAATTAGCTAGTTGGGAATTTCAGTCGGGAAGTGAAAGGCTAGCGATGATTATAAAATTTAAAAATGAAGAAATTTTAACATATTTTTCTCCACCGTCCTGCCTTCGTCTGTACCGCCGTGACAGAAACTTCGTCAGTAACCAATCGCTTGTTGGCAAAATTCAGAAATAATAAGCCTATAACGGTTACCGGCTGAAATTACAATAACTTTGTATATTCTCATCTTGTCATCTTAATACTAAATCACATGAGTTGTAAAGCTACTTTATATATAGCATATGTGCCTGTAGATAAGTGAAAATGAAATGTAAATTTAATATGAATGTGACTGGTCCTTTACATAAGTGAAATTGGATCATGTACTAGTAACAGGTGTTTTAGTTCGTGAATGCATTAAAAGATCCTTCGAGACCAATTTGTTAATCATATCAATTCGAACATTTTAAATGACTCAACTGCATGGTATGCATAAAACAAAATTAGCAACAGTGAAGAATCAAACGAACGGTACTACAGCTCAGACAACAGATTTTCAGCTATATCAGTGAAGCTTGGCCCATTAACTCCTTTTTAAGGCAGAAATGTAAGGTAGAAACATGAATCACGTCGGCTCGCTTAATTTGCCACAATAAAATGAATATAGGGTCTCATATTCAATTTCACTTAACGTTGCCTCAAAAAAGGATTTTCCATCTAGATTGGACTTAAGCTTTGACCCTGCCTAAGCCTCATTAGTACTCTTGACAGGATTCGAAACCAATACATTGGGTTGAAACTCCACAACACAGACACAAGTTCCAGTTGGTCAGATTGCAGACTTAGCTTACAAAGCAAGACGTGTATTCTTCAATCCAAATGTATAGTGGAATAAGGCAAATTTATGCTTAGGCATTAAAATTTACCACAATTTCATATTCATTCTTAGTCAAAATGCATGAATAATTTTAAACCAACTCCATTAAATTATAGTAATATGATCGATTTTAATAGTAAATACGTTTCCCTTATAAGAAAAATCCTCTTATTTATTTGAATTGAGAGACCTGGTTTGTCCAGAAAGTAAAATCTACCCCCTGTCCCAATGGCGCTTGTTGCTATGCTAGGAAGCGGCAAAATTACAGCTTAACGAATACGACCCCTTTTTGAATCCTGAAGATAAAATTGCTGTTGTATGGAGTATTCAGAAAATATTCAGTAATTTCAAACCTTGCGCTTGTAAGTTAGAATGAAGGACCTGAGCAACTTACCCAATTCATTGTAAGTACAGGCATTGAATTCTTTTATAGGAAAAGAGGGCGTGAAAGGAGTTACGTCTACATAGATGGCCAGCTTATTTGATTTTCGAAATGCGATGATTCTATGAAGGCAAAAACAGAAGAAAAAACAATTTAATAGAAAAAAAGAACTTTAAACAAAGCATTGCTGAGACTTGACTCCTTAATAGCAGAATAATGTAAAATATGGGCAAATAACAAATATGGATTCGATAATAAATCATCCCAGGTCCTATAAAATAAAGTACGGATAGTTGAATTTACTACTACTACTATTAGTAGTAGTAGTAGTAGTAGGAGGCTTATGAAGAAACATTTAAATATTTATATAAGTAAGAATCTAAGATTAAGTCAAATTTATGAGCAAAAGAAATAAATAAATAGAAATTTCGTCGAGAAGTACATGACCATAAAGTGGATTAATCATAATCTAGACTTATATTGGTCCATAACTGAATATAAGGCAAGGGAAAAATAAGTGATATGTAGAGTATATAAATAAAATTACATATACCTCAGGTTAGTGCAAGCATAATCTAAGGCTATATAATAAGCAAGACTATTATAAACTAGCAATATTGGATAGGTCAAACGTAAAATCTAAAAACATAGAGGCACAAATAAAAATAAATAACAAAGTCGTATGAAAAATATAATGTAAATCACTATTGGGGTGTACTTCGAAGTGATAATTTTGTCTTAATAAAAAAATGTGGTTAAGAAGAAGTATCCATTGAAATTCACATCTGTCTTGTGAAATAAGGGCACTCGTGACAATGTAGCGTAGTGGTTATCGTGTCGAGCTTACACGCTGCACTCTCATGCTTCGAATCCTGATTGTAGTGTTTATAAGACCTATGCGAGGTCGAAACTACAGTCCGCGCTGGATGAGAACACATTTTGGAAAAGCAAGGCAATGTGAAATTCATTAGAGAACATAAGCTCTACTCATATCATTGCAGGAAAAATCAACTACAAGTCCTTCATCATCTTAAACGAAATAGGGTGAACACAATTCAAGAATAATCAAAGTTAATATTAGAATATATAAAGACCAAGATGGTGTGGCCTTTTGTGTCGTCGCAGTATCCTCTCGTTGTTTAAAAGTTGTCCGACCTTGTTTTCGCAACATGGTCATTTTGGTAGGAAGACTAGTCCGAAGTTCATTTTATGCATGATCATTTCCAGAGTCGGACCGTGGCACATTCCCAGACGTTTCGACTTCATTGTCAATGAATCTTGCCATTCTTAGCACCATAATACAACTCATCAAAGTGACAAATGAAGCCAATCCTTTGACCAAACGTGTGCTAAACAGTTGTGGTATCTCTCCTTCTGTCATGATCTATTCACCTCTACTATATCCTCGAATCACACCTTCACGATCACTATTTTTCCTTGCTAATTTAAATTTAGTGTGGTGTGCCCTTTCATGAGAACTCTCCACACTCCACGCTGACGTTCTCACCCCCATTCAACATTGTGCTGGGAATGTTGATCAGATTCTGCCACATTGTTACGCAGTCCTCTTTCCCTAAGCCTTATCAAAGTCTTCCTCTTGTCTCGTAGAATCCGTCTGTTATCTCTCTGGTTCAAGTATTACACTCGACTCCTGCCATCCTATCTGTGCTATTCGAGCTGTTATTTCCTACACTCTGCGTCTGCTAGACTAACTTAAGGCTAAAGACCCCGAGTAATTGTCCTATTCAAGCCTTTGCTTAATGGACC